AATGTCTCTAAGCGCTTTACAAATATACTATTACCACGGTCATTGGATTCAGTGCTTTCCCGCACACACTGTGTGCACAATCTCCACTCCCTGAGGAGAATTCCAGCCGGGCGTTACTTGACGTTCACAAGCTGTTTGACCAACAATAATAGAAGGAGAGACAGGGGAAAGGGTGGGAGAGATAGGGAGTAAAGATAGATAGAAAGGTAGATGGCTAGAGAGGGGAGGGAGGAGTAGAGAGAGAAAGAAAGAGGGGTTTGTGAGTGGAGGGGAAGAGAGGGAGGGAGGTACAAAGAGATAAATATATATATAGAGAGAGTAAAAGAGTGAAAGGGAAAGAGAGGGAAATGGATAGGGGAAGGGGAAGTTGGATTGTTGCTAAATGTTTATATATAAATCATAAATTGTCCCTACAATTTATTGCAACACAACAGTGGATCTCATTTGCTATTTATGCAAACTTTAAAAGACTATTTCTTGTTTTGACGCGTCGTGATAGTTAATCCACAGGAAAAAACTCCTTGACTTATTTTCAGAAACTGCCCCTTTAATGATCAAAGGAGAAGCTATCCTCACTTCTGACACTGATTTATACAAATATTTAATCCATGTTTAAAGATTCAGAATTTACGTGGTTTCATGAAGAACAAAATATGTTTTTATATACCCATAACCCATGTAGAAAGCATAACTCTTGGGACACAACGCAGCCTGGGAATGCAATCTGATCTTTTCCAACAACTAAGTCTGCTCTATATGTATTTCTCTCTTCTTTTCTCTCTCTTTATGACTATTGTATAAAAAAGAAAATCCGTGATGTGGGAATGTTATTCAAATTCTCAAACAAAGGAACTGTGAACAATCTTCATTTATAAAAAAATGGTTTGACTTCAGTGTGTTGTCATAAACTGTACAAGCAAATATCTCTGGAAACACAAAATACAAGCTAGCTGTATTACCCTGTGGTTGCAAAAGTGTAACGAACCGGAAAACTAACAAATACTTGACATGGAATGAAAAAGGAGAGAACTTGAAGAAAGTGCACCCTGATATTACATTGGTTTTAGTAGAACAGAAATCTTGGAGAAACACGTCATTAAAAGTGTAAGGAAGAACCAAATAAAATAAGAAATTTATGATTCTGTTAAAGATACTACGGCCCTTTTGCAGCCAACATCAAATTCTGTAGAACTTTTCAGGTATTATGCATATGTCATGTATGTCCTATCTGTGAAATTTAAACGTTAGCAGTGTCCTAATATTCAAATTATGCAAGGAAACCAGCTTAGTTGCTAAACTTAACTGCCAGACACTATTGAGTGACTGACTGGATTTTTTCTTCTTTGGTAACAACATACATAACACGAGCTGTAAAGGGTACACGAGCGTGTGTCTACATCAATAACACACTTCTTGTAATGGCCAAAAATAAAATGCACAAATTACAAATGAATGTCTCACTGTGTTTACATAATTGAGTTTTACACATGAGCAACAACATTTAATCAATCCCCATTCGTATCTTTAAAATACTGTACTACATCCTACAACGTAATTGCAGTTATTGTATAAACAGGAATTTCTCATACTTTTGAGTTCATTTTAGTTAAAGTGTACATGTATAACAATCATTTACACACCAATCTGTAATGTAACGCAGTAAGAGAATTTAAGTGAAATCATTTCAGTCATTTGTAAAAATATGCTTCAAAAGTAGGTTGGTGTTCAATGAGGATGCATAAAAATAAGTTATGGAGAAACAAAATCTGAAAAATTCACAAGAAAAAATCAGGGACACACAAATAACATACAGCAAATGATAAATGCTTTCCAAATCGGATACTAGTAGCCCATGCTATTACTTTTCCCCGACTATGCAGCATCAAAATGTATTGATCACCCAAACCTTCTTGTCAATATAAACGCAATGTACAGGTACTTCAAAATGACAACAGTTTTATGAAACTTAATGATATCCTGTGCTGCATCCTTCAATGACACAACACATCATATCCCCCATTTCTTCTACCATTTCACCTTTGGAATAATTCACAAGAAAACAATTTCACATGATGAAAATGATATGTGGAACATATGCTATTTTAACAAATGTATTATTATTTCAAATTCTAATCCCATTTGCAACTGTGGAACATCAAATTGCAACACAAAAGCAATATGAATAATAAATACTATTAATACAGCATACATGTACCAACAAGTAATTTAAAGGGGGTGTCGAAATATTAAACTAAATGAAATTATTCACTGGATTTTTTTCTCAACAATGACACCCTTCCTTCTTACTCAAAATCAGAGTCTTCATTATCTTCATCTTCTTCTTCCTCTTCTTCTTCTCGCTCTTCAGCAGTGTCAGCAACTTGATTTTCACATCTTTCACAATTGCACATTTCAGTGCACGGTATCTTATTTTTACGACATTCACACTGTCTTGTACTAAAATGACTCTTTTTGCACTTGCACTTCAACTGCCCGAGAAAGTTTCCTGGTGCAGGAGGAAGGTTTCCCCATTTGAAGACAAGGTCACCCTTTTCCATTGCCCAACCACAACATGTTCGATTCGGGGCATTTATTAACTTGTTTGTGGCTCGCCTGTGAATAGCAGCCTGGTAGTTGGCTCGCTTAGCATGCTCATGCAATGAGTCCTGATTAGGGGGGGGGGGGGGGTAGTGAATGTTCAAACTTGCATTCTAACCTGAACATATTGTACCGCACTAGAGTGATACTTTTTTCTTCCTTGCATCCATACAGAGCACGGACAAATTCTTCTAGTTTCTCATTCAGGTTTCCAGACAATTCAAAATGTTGTCCTACTTCACCAAATACCTGTACAAATCTCCTCTCCTCCAACATTAACTTAAGAGCTTTGATTTTACCTTTGCCATAGAATGCACTTACAGAGTCGCACCCTGTAAAACAGTGAAGCCCTATTAAGGCATTAGTAACATCAGTACCTAAATCCTCCGAGAATGATGTCAAATCTAGAGTTCCTCGTCCAGTGTGAAAGAGAACACGACTTTGAATGTTTCCAACCAAAGCAAGGGCAATGATGAAGACATCAGTATCAGGGCTCCTTATAATGACTGCATTTTGTGTCTCATCTTCTGAGGAAGCCTGTCTTTGCGAAGCATACGCACAGTGTAGAAGTAACCGAGTATCTGCTTCTTCGTGGTCTGCGTGGAGGTCTGGTATATCACGGACGAATAATTCCCCATTCTGAGGGGAGAGAGAATGGCATGTGGTTCCATGAGCTAGAAATACTTCCACATTCTTGAATTCATCTGGACTGGTTTGTCTCCATGTGTTGAAGAAGAACTCCACCAATTCCTCCTTGTTTGCACCACATGCGATGTATTTCGTCCACTGAAGAGGGATAGGCTGGTCTTTGCTGTAGATCTTTATTCTCTCTGTTCCTCCGGCTGCACGTTTGCCTCGCTCTCCACCTTTTATTGAAATGGATGGGTATTGATCAGTTACAAAGTGGATCGAGTTGGCGTACAAATTAGTAGCCAATCCTATGAGCTATTTGAGGATACAGCCATGCTTGCACACTGGTGCTGTATGGCTGCTCTAATATGATGAGACAATACCCATCTGTGGTAGGAACCTCTGGAGTTACTAAACCCTATCACTCCTCCCTTAGTCTTCGTGTCTCTGTTGATTGTTTGCTCGATTTTCTGGTCCCCAGAAATCCCAGCAAATCCATGCCTGTCTTGGCGAACGACAGCAAACTGGCCTTCGAGGAATGCATTGTGAACAGATGGATGAGTCTCGGGCAGTTGCTTCATTTCCATCCAATAGGCTGGTAGATATCTCGAGTAATTGATGTGGTCATAGACAAAAAACCATGGAAGCAGTCCTCTCACAGAAGACAAGTGCAACAACCAATTTCCTTCTTCTGTTGCTCTGATAAAGAGAAGCAGGTGCTCTACCATGTCTATATAGGAGGACCAGAAGGCAAATGATGGCGAAGAAGATTTTTCCACTACAAACTTGTCGTACCTTGCTTGTAAGCTGCCAAAGTCTTCATCATTCACAAGTTGCTTGTGGAGGAGTGATGGGAAAGTAGCTTGCAGCTTTTCCACAGTGTTGGATGCTTCCTTTTGTTCTTCATCACCATCATGGGATTTGAGGAATGCCTGCCAACGCAAGTGTTCCATCGCTTCGCTAACGATTTTGTGCATCCTTATGCTCCTGTTATACTGACGCCCACAAAGAACTCCATTTGCAGAACCTTCAGCAACAAGTCCACTCTCAATGATTATGTCTTGTAGTCCAGCATCTCTGAAACGTTTCCCAAGACTTGCAAGGAAATTCATGCTTGTGTGAAACTCTCCCATTCTGATGACAGTTCTAGCCATGAGGTGGTCATCTTTCCAGCGTATTTGCTGGGCCTTACTGTAAATGTCCTGATCACAGACAATGACGATGGACTCTTGCTGAAGGAGGGTGCATATCTTTACGCTCTTCACTAGAATTGTATTGATCGTGTCCATTAGAGTGGGCGAGGCATCAATGGCTGGAAGATAGTATACACTGGATATTTTTGGCTTTGCTTGGTCCAACTGTGTGTTATATACTGTCCAGCTTGGGAGTAAAGAACCTCTTTGTCCTTGAATGCGAGATAGGCGGAACGCTAGTTCCTTCTTCTTTGCTGACAGCAGATATGACTCTCTACGGTTTTCTGTTATGTCCAGGTCTTGCCCAAACGGTGCTGGACCCTTCTTCCCTGAACCAAAGTATGATGCAAGGGATGAAGCAGGGGCAGTAATTGACCGTTTATGGGATCTTGGGATAGATGGGTGTTGGTCATTCACTACCTCAGGTTTTCCACTCTGGATCAGAATACCAATAGTGGAATGCGTTGTTCCCTTTCCTGATATGGTCTCTTCTGAGAAATCAATGTTGTCCCAGACTAGCGTGGTGAACTTTGGTGTCACGCCTTCTGGCAAAACTTCATCTCCTCTTGAAGGCTGCTTTGTTGCAAGGGCAGTGTCATGCTCTAATACCATCGAATGTGACGTGCAATGTCCGAGGCCATTCAGAAAGCCAATCCGCTTTGCTGACCCTGTCATGTGTCTTACTGTCATGGCTAGTGATCAGTGTTTAGGAAAGATTACTTTACCCTTACAATTCATATACATTACATCTTGACAAATAGATAGTAACTTTCTCTTTTCATCTACACCTGTTCTTACAAAACCTGACAGTTCTAAATCTTCTGATGCATCTAAAACCCAGGACAAGAAGTTGAATAACATGCTTGGAGTTGCTTCCTCGGCAGACTGGAGAGAAAGGTCACTTGCAACTGGAGTCCACTTGACTTGCTCTCGATGCTTGGTACACGCAGACTGAATGCTCTCCTTGAGGATCTAAAATAAAAAAAAGCACAGGGAGAAGAAGAAAAAAAAACATTTAGAAATTTGTTAGGAAGGGCATGCTAGATGTAATTTTTTTTTATGATTAAAAAATCTCCAAATTAGAAAAAAAAAAAAAAAAACAAGTATACTTGGCTTCAGTTTTACTGTGTTCTGACTGCCTAATTATTAAAAAAAGAGTTCAAATACATACATGTAAATGCTATAACACTGTGTTTCAAACCATACACAGTTGAGAGTAATTGTAAGGGGTACGAGCAATCATAAACTTACTAACATGTTTTTTTGCCTTCTAATTGATGCCCCAAAATCAAATGCTTATTTTCTATAGTATAATACATGTACAGGTACCCCTAATATTGTACAATATTTTGTCCACATCTGGTTAAAAGTTCCATAAAAACTGATTATTTATGACAAAATATTGAAATGTAAAAAACTATGTTATTGAACAACATCAAAATCATATGTTCAGTTCCTTAAAAAAATGCTTATGTGTTTGGAATGTTGTTTTCCTCCTTGTTGCACCTAAAACCTGTACATATATCTTATTCATTTGCACCTCAGCACCTGCAAATATAAAAGCATGCTTTACAGAAAATAAAGTGTTCACAAAAAATACAAAGTGACTACCAGTAGTTTTTCTAACCTGTGATGCATGGAAAAGTGTACGAAGCTGCCCATGTTGGGCGTCAGTAGAAATCTGTGTGGGTTCTTCATCGCATGACGATTGCGAGTCTTCACTTGTGCTGGTGGACTGGTCTTGAACTGCCTGTTCTGCTAAGGCTACTCCCTCCATCTCCGATGTCATAACAATGTCGCTCTCATTCTTCTTCCGTGGTGACACAAAGAGAAGTTCAGGGAATGCATCTTTAAGCAGCTTTTTGAGTCTTGTTGTTTTGTACCCAGATACATCTACTCCCTCTTCTCTTTTTGCAATCTTAATGAACATCTGTTTCAAAGTTGTCAGACGAAGGAGTTCCTTGCCTTGAACAATTCTCTTTTGAACAATTGAAGCAAGTTCACTGAATGATGCACTATACACGTTCATACTTTCTGCATCCGTGTCAAGCTGATCTTCTTTAGAGACGCATCTCACAAACTCACGGTAACAAAGTTTGTGATACCGGACTTCAACAGCAACCATGTCCTTCCCACGTATCTGGGTTAATATGCGTGAATGTTTACGTTTTTCAGCTGCTTGCAGAAAATTCGCTGCATTTATAGCTATACACAAAGTATTATATCAGGTAATTGGTACATATTAATATCAGGGTTGGTGAACTTCTCTATTCTTGAGAGGAAAAATCTGTTTGTAGCCAGAAAGGCGTTGACTTCTATACTTTCACACAGAGTTAATGAATGCCCTTCTGGCTCTGAATAAGCAATGCAGTTTCTGGAGAGATGTTACCTCGTATTCTTCACCCACCTGTAGAAGGCTATGTTCTGGTCTGGGTACAGGAAATAGTTGATAGTGAGGGTTCAATCAATTATAGGTTTCCCGTGAATATAATTAACTCTTCAAACTATCTCCTTTTGTTTAGTCTTAGTATGCACCTTGTACTTTAATAGCTCGATGGCTTCGTATAATAAATGCATACAACCTCTAATGGTACTATATCCCATTTGCAGCCAACATCAAATTATGTAGATTCACTTTGCAGGAATCATGAATATGCCATGTACGTCTTATATGCGACATTTAAACGATAGCAGTGTCCTAGTATTCAAATTATGCAAGGAAACCTGTTTACTTTCTAGACTCCACTGTTAGACACTATTGAGTGACTGACTTATGATTATTTTTCTTTGGTAATAATGAGCTGTAACGGTGCATTATCATTTGTCTACATCAATTAATCACTTCATGTAGTGGCCAAAATTAAATTAATTGAATCTTTGCTCAGCACAAAACGTAGGACAACTCGGTACAACGGTCTGAAAATCAGACTAATTCCAACATGATTACAATCACTAAAGTCTTCTTTATACAGGGTGGCTGTTTCGATAACGAGTAACTGTACATTGTGCTCAGTTGGTTATGACATAGTTCTGTTATTGTGTTGCTCCTGCTCAATAGACATTTTGAATAACTATTTTTAAATTCATAGTCATTTTCTAAAGCTCACTCGAGACACATTAGCGTGACACCCTAAGTGACCCTATTTTTCTATGATATTCCTTCACAATAATATAACAAGAATGAAAAAGCTCCTAAATAATATGCTATCGTTTCCAGAACTCAACTTTTTTTTAATAACTGATTAAAGAGGTCTATTTAAGGTTGAATCACAATCGTTGTCATTTCTTATAAACAAAAAATCATTATCTGTTCATGTAAGGTGTATATAGAAAATGCTGTGACAAATATAATATTATTAAGGCTCTATATGATACATTAAGATAATGAAGGTTAAAATTGTTGAATATCTCTGTATAAAGTAATGGAAGAGCTTAGTCGGATATTGAAGATGTTTCGTGTAAAAAAAAAGAAACTAAGAATACTTTTGAGGCGCAATTGTTTAGAGCTGGTCTTGATTTTGCCCTTACCAATTAGATTAAACTTTTACAACCTTGACCTTGTTCAAATATGATGAAAACCATAAAGTCTTAAGACGACTTAAAGTGTACTACGCTTCTTATTTTTGTGATATATCTATATAACATAAATTAGGTCAGTAATTACGCAGCAGCTTTTTTGCATAGGACTTCTACATCATATCTGAACAAGCCCTGAGTGTTTAATATTCTTTGCATTTCCCTCTCTCTCCCTGTCCATCTCTCTCCCTCTCTCTTCGCAGTACGTGTACAAATGCTTGTTTACTTATTACAGAAAGAAAACATTGTTTGGGGAATAATTTCATCAAATCGAAGTGAAATGGCAAATAATTATCAATGTGTGTAATATATATAATGATGGTGTATTCATAATTTTTTTATTAAAATTCACCACCGTCCTGAGATATGTACAGGCTCATTTACAATTGTCTTTTCTTCTCACCCCCCCCCTCTCTCTCTCTCTCACCCCCCCCCCCCTCTCTCTCTCTCTCTCTCTCTCTCTCGTACCCCACCCCTAATTCTGATTTCTATCTGACCACGATATTACCTTTTTAATTTTTTTATTCATCCTATGTTTTAATAATGCTTTGTTTAAGTCTCCATTGTAGCTCATTCAGTAATACATTTGAATTAAGTATACACATTTCATTTACATAATAATAATAGGCATTTGTATGGCACCGTCTATCTTGAAGTTTTAGTCCCAGGTGTACAAGGGAAGAAAAGGTGATACTAAGGAGTCCAACATGCTCCCATTTCTTTCTCATCATATCTATTCTCCCAAATCCACTTTCATCCTCTCTCACACGCCTGTTTTAAGATATATGAACATCACTTTCAAATAAACGAGACAAAGTGAACACAAAAGTACACACAGGAAGTCTGTTTATTTCAACATTTCAATAAAAGTCAATTTCACAATCATATTCTTTTCAATCCATCTATTCATATTTAATTTTAAATAGGTTAATTTTATAATAATAATCATATCCTTTTCAGTCTATCAATGTATACCTATTTCATAAGGATCCATTAACATTTGATAAAGACATGAATATAAGTACTTCAATCTCCAGATTTAATCAATTTAAATCAATACCATATATTCAAGAAGTTTGGAGACACATAATTTAGAAAAACATATTCCTAAATGTCTAGTATTCTGTTTTCAGTTTTGATTCAATATTTGCAAGTATGTGAATATGAATTTGTGTTGATAGAATTGAAACCAGAATGAAGTTACAGCATATCTAAAAAACATTCTTTCTTTATCTGCATTTTCGTATCAAGATTAGTTTTATCGCTGAAAGAAAATCTTTTAATACTATATTGAAAAATATTTCCTTATTTATGATGTTCTCTTTTATCACAAATTTGATAATAGCCACCATCATTTGCTAAATGCATGACTGCATACTCCAAAATTCTAGTATGATTTGACTTTAATTCAATTAAACATAATATTAAGTCAGAAATACATATAGCACACTATACATGAGACAAACAATTCAGCATAAAATGTGCATGTAAAAGAGAAAGAAAATACACAACAATAGAAGACAGCATACTTTGGTAAATCATGTTTTGAATAGTTGGAGATAAAGAAAAAGCAGATAATAAGAAGATTGGAAGAAAAAAAAGAATCAAGGCAAAGTATGTAGAGACATGTATACAAGAGAGCGAGAATTAAACCAGAAAAGAGGAATAGGAGAGGAAAAACAGAGTACAGAAATAGGGAGAAGGACAGAGCAGAAGAATTTTTGTTTTCAAAGATAACAGGGAGGGAAAAAATATTATTTAAAAAAGATAATGAAAATAAGAGGATGAGGGGTGGAAACAGGCAATACATGAATTTGATACATATTGATATCAATAAGTTAATAAAAATTAATTTACCAAACTCAACAGACTTCTTTAATTTTAGCATATTTACAGATGACTATATTTCAAACATTCAGTACTAACTTGTTATATGGAAGAAACCTCTTGTTGAAATTAATAATCATTAGTCCTTTAGTTTCAAAGAACTTCAAATCATGAATAATTATGTACATAAAAAAGAATTTTGTTTTAAACAAAGACACTTTGATCCCCAGTATATCTCTTTTAGCCCATTTAGAACACCATCCAAGCTTTTGTTTCAAAAGTTAGAAATATAAGATGCTTATAAAAATGCAGAACCTTGCCACTTACTTTTGTATATGACTTGTAATGTACCTACCTCCGCACTTTATAATCAAATATTATTATAATCTAATACAGCATAATTATGAGACAAGAGGGAAAATGATCGGATTGCTATGTTTACCAAAATGTGGATGAATGTATGGCTAATTTCCAATATTCTTTGATAGAGTATATGAAAATACGGTAAGTAAAAGAAACACAAGATTAGCTTTCAGTAAGCTTCAAATGTAAAGCAAATGCATTTGCTTTCAAACTATGTATTTGTATCAAATATTGTACTTCTAATAATAAAAAGAACAGACAAAGAAAAAATGTATATTAGTCTCCATTTTGTCTTTTTCTAACCTTTAATTGAAGCATACTCTTTTTGGTTTAAGCAGTTCAAATGGTTCAATTTCTACTAGCAACTGTGTTACCCTTTGACTTTATTAGCACTCTAAGCAACTGCATTGTGTCCAACGCTCACCTGACATACATTTAGCTATTGAATCATTCCTTCCATTTATGTCAACCCAAACAATCTTAAGACTTCAGCAAATCAATAGCTATGTATGTTTGTCCAAAGACTGAATAACCTAGCTGTTCACATTAATTCAATCACCTGAATACTACAAAGAAAATCAGACCTAAATGTATATACATAGCTTTCCTAACAAGACCGTTCAATGAGTTTATTCAATCTGAAAGTAGAAAACATTATGTATGATGCAGGGAAAATAAATCATTATCACCAATACCTACACCAAACTACACTCAAAGTTCTTTAGCCATGCATGATAAGACAGTCAGAAGAATATTGAAAAGAGTTTTCTGAAGAGAAATCTGACACTGACTCTGCAGAAACAAACATATTTGGTAATAAAAAGTCCAAGACTTCAAGACTCAAAGGGCTATTAAAGTAGGTCCATCAAACCTAAAACGTTGATGCTAATTAACAATTCTTTATATACTTACATGTCAATCATTACACAATAAAGTAGACCATCCCTGCTTCCTGAAACACAAAATAAAAATGTTAGTATAAAGACAAAAAATCAAAAAAAGGTGCCAATTAGCCATCAGTCATGTGACCATTACCAATCAGATTACTCAGTTATGGGGGAGATTTGTGTAGAAGTCCACAAGTTCTGCCTGAGAAACCACCGGGGCTCATCCTCCCCACTGTCACTGTCTTCATCCATGGGCTCCTGCTCTTTCTCAATCATCACACATGTGCCTCGCCATATGCCGTCAGGCCACTTCATCTGCTGCCCTCCGGAATTTTAGGTCCGCCATGCTGACAGCATGTGTACTCTCATCCTTGTCCGAATGGGCACTGCGATCTCTGCTCCCTCCATCGTCAGCCTCTACATTTTTAAGGAGAGAGAAAAAAGATAAAGAGAATACATGTGTCACAATTCAGAGTCACTTAATGCATTAATCCCACCTACTATTCTCTTATTGCTTTAAAGT